AGATCTTACTCTAAAGTCAAAGTAATAATACTGCAGTGTAGAATAACACAAACATAAAGGTCCGGCACTCAAAAGGTAACTTCAGTAGAGGTTAGAAAGATGCCCCCCTTTCTAATATCCTGATTACACAAGCCCGTTACATCTACTACTCCCCAAATGAAGGAGAGGGATGAGCATTAACCTCTAACTGACTGATGGAAGAGTTAATCATACCCAAAAATAAAAATAAATTACCTAAAAGCAACATTTCATATCTTGTTTTTTCATTTAAAATTCACCAAATCACTTTCAGCACACTGAACTAGACCTATTGAAACATACATGTTGATATTATGTGACTACTGAATGGAGAATATATGAATAAACACACACTGATCTCTATATGTTCCTCTCCTCTAAACACTCTCATTAAGCTCATCCTCACTGCTCTCACTCTCAGCACGAGTGGAAGTTACCACCCACACACCCATCTGCTTCCACACACACACACACACACACACACACACACACACACACACACACACACACCACACACACACACACACACACACACACACACACACACACACACACACACACACACACACACACACACACACACACACACACAACACACACACACACACACACACACACACACACACACACACACACAGTATATTACGGCTGTTCTTGGTCTTTTGCCAGTTCTCCTGTATACAGTCATCTGCTTGAACATATTGCCATGTCTAAAAAAAAAAAAATCCCTGGGTTATCTTACACACACACACTCACACACACACACACACACACACACACACACACACACACATTGTCCTTTCCCAGCAGTACTTCTGAACATACCTGCAGCATTAGCTCTTCTTACAGATTTATATTGGGTCTGCTTGCTCTTTATAAACACCAGGAACACATCTTAACATTCACAAATCCACAACATCTAAATGCTCATTATACATTTCTACATGCATCCTCTAACAAGTACTTTTTTTTCAAGCTGCAGATACTCAAACAACTGAGAAAAGACTTTATGAATTGAAGTAAATGGAGGCCATGTTTTAAGGTCATGAGTCTTAAACCTTTAGGAAATAAGAAAGCCTAATGTAATGGATGAAAAATATAAATATTTAAGAACAACATCAACAATGTGCATCCAGTCCATGGTTCTGAAAGCCCAGTATTACAGCACCTCATCAAAAGAGATGTATTAATATGTATATATTGATCTGATATGTGAATGTATTGAAACCTCATGCACTTCTGCTACTTCTCTTTATACTTTCTGGTTGGATGCAAACTGCATTTCGTTGTTGACTCTAATCCTCTATAATCTAATAACAGGAGTAACAAGAGAAAAAGTGAAATGCACGGGCAGAAAATGCTTTTTAAAATGGATAGATCTTAATAAAAAAGACTTAAGCCGCTTTCTCACCAAGTACTTTGCCGTACTTAGTTCCCAGCACTAATACCCCTTTCACACCAAGGCTTTTCCCGTTCTAGCTCCGTGCTAGAGCTTTTCTGGTTCGGAACCGGTTCTTCGGTTCAGCTCCCGCTCTGTTCACACCGCTCAGAGCCCGACTGGTGCTGCGTCATCGTTTGCGTCATGACGTAACCGTTTGCGTGCCTGCTTCATAAAGCCAAACCGCGCGGAAACCCCTCACATCGACAATAACAACAATGGCTGATTGTATTGAAGCGCTACTCGTTTTGCTCTGTCGAATCGAAAACGGAAGAAATGGGACGACTTTACTACCAACTTTACAGTCGTTACATGCTACATTCAAAAGTTATTACACATTTACACAGTGGGCCAAAATAAAAAAAGTCGGTACTAGTTGAGAGCCGGACTGGTTCAATGTTTATTGCAAAACGTATTGAAATGAACTTATTGCACATATTAAACCTGGAACTAACAAAGCTTAAATGATTGCCTATAAACACAACATTGCACAGGGTTAGGCTTTTTGTTGTTGTTAGAGGTTGATCCCGCCTCCGACGTAAGCGTGACGTATGCAGTGCTTGCTTTCCAGACCGACAACCTTTTGGTGCTTGAAACAAACCGGATTCCGGAGCTTAGAGGCGGCTCCGCTGCGGTGTGAACAGGAAAAACCGGTACTTTTCAAGCTTCAGCTCCGAACCGGCCCTGGAACCGCGTTGGTGTGAAAGGGGTATAAGTTCCCAGCACTTACTACCCCCATGGAACTAAAGAGCGGATCACGTTCAAACCGGAATCAGTTCCCTGAGGGAAGATTGAGCAAATGAAGCCGCTGACGTCACTTCTTCTTCTTCTGCTTTGGGTTTACTGGCAGGCCGCAAACCACTTCACGGCGTATACTGCCGCCCGAGCCTTCCGAGTAAATCGCCAGAACGCCGACACCTCCTCATCACTCCACCGCTCCCATTTTTTTTGTGTTGCCATAAGTTAGTCTCTCTCCGTTGGTGCGTGGAGCTAATGCTAATGCTAATAATGCTAATGCCAGCAAATACAATGGCGGCTTCAAAAAACTTTTCCGAGTTTTACAGGGCGTGGTTTGCAATTCGCCCAGCCAATCAGAAATTGGTACTTTTTTCTCCCCAGGCTAGAACCACCTCTCCAGCAGGCACTGAAAAGGGTGGAAAAGTTCTCTTGAACTAAGTTCTCTTTGTGGTGTGAACGCAAAATCCCAGGCGCCTATACATGATAAGTGATCATATAGGCAGACGATCATGGCTTTTACAGAATCATAAAGAACCTTAAAAATACAACAAAGATGGAGCTAAATACAAACTGAAGTCTCTCTTAGGTTGGTAAATGCCTGAGGGTTAAAACTGCACTGTCACATATATATAATGTACACATCACACCACCTGTTTTAACTGCATCCTATGCAAATAGGATGATGTGCAGCGTCAGGATCCAGATCAACCTGGAGATAAAGAACCACCTGTGGTGTGAATATGTTGTTTGCTTGTGTTGTTTATCTTGTTGTTTGGATGGTATCAATAGCAACGAGGTCACCAGGTGCCTCAGAGGATGTTCAAGCACCTTCAAGGTTCTTGTTTTATTGTACCCTTTCATAATGCTCTGACTGATTCAATCATTAGTGTCACATGTTGTCAACTGAAGCCTAATTAGCTACGATTTAACTTAATCACAAACACACTGAAACGCACACACACACACACACACACACACACACACACACACACACACACACACACACACACACACACACACACACACACACACACACACACAACACACACACACACACACACACACACACACACACACACACACACACAGCTTGTAAAGCATCACATCACATGAGCTTTAGTCAAGCTGAAGTCATGTGGCTACATGTATCCTCAAAGAGACCTACAGTTACAGGCAACCTGACACACACACACACACACACACACACACACACACACACACACACACACACACACACACACACACACACACACACACACACACACACACACACACACACACACACACACACACACACACACACACACACACACACACACACACACACACACACACAGAAGACATTGGGGGGGTTACCGAATGGAGAAAACTTGTGAATGTGGGGAGATATCTTGAATCTGATGCACGCATCACAGAAAATATGACCATGAAACAGACGAGATCTAATAAAATCTTACTCTCGCCAATTTCACTGAACAGTAGAGGACTCTTTAACTACACTTCCAAAAACATGTCTGCATTTCTATCTATAGGCTTACAATAGAGCACAGCAACAGAGATGCTATCAGCAGATACAAGACGGGAAGTAGTGAGAGACTGAGCAAAAACAACAGGAATCTCCATGAGAATGACGAGGTGCACAAAAAGGGACTTCTACACCGTAA